GTGTGTCTGGTTAAATGTAAACATCTTACCAAAATCAGGGATTTGTGTACAAAGATGTTAAATAAATACTTGGCCCCTCTAAGAATATTGTGGCCCCTTGACGGCCCCTTATTCAGAAAAATCCCAGTTCTGCCACTGCTTCAGAGTCTCAGGACAAACCTGAAAACTGACCTGAAAATGGACTCATCTTTGCTCCAAGTCCTCCGACTTTGTCTCTCTGAAGGGTGGCACGGTGGACAATTAAGTGTCAAGGACAGCTCTGCTGTTTAATGTCACTACCATTGTGCATTTGATCTTGTCTCATTTTTAAACTTCCTGTTTTATTTTGTACACWAACTTCCTGTCTCATTTCAGAGAACTTCACTTCCTGAGATTCCCTCTAATCACCACTGGCACACTAGCCTGGTTAAAACCAGACACTGTCCTTCACTTTGCTTGGATCAGTTGGCTGCGATGTATGTCGCTGTGAAGGAGGCTAAGCTAAGAAACTAACCGGAAATCGCGTGTGCTGTAAACAACCCTACTGAGAGGAGAAACATACCGAGACGACTGTAAATGAGAGCTGTTGCTTTGTCAGAAATTTTTATTTTAATTTGGAAGCCTTATCAACACGGACTGGCTTCATTCACTTCCTCCACTGCCGTATGCTAAAATAACTAGCAGACACTGTGCAGAACATTGACGTCGTTCAAAACTCCTCCTTCTGTTTGCTGATTGGCCCAGGTAAAATAAACTACAAGAGACACTGTGCAGAAAATAGACGTTCTGTTCTCTGATTGGCCCGGCTGAAAATCTGCCAGCGAAATCCATTTCAATGGGAGAAGTCCCAGACAGAGCAGTGAAGGGAAACTAGGATTGAGCGGAGCTGCGTAGGAAGGCAAGGGCCAGGCTACTGGCACACCCTAATCTCATACACCTGTGTCACATGCACCTTGTTCATATTTACCTCACTCCATGCATCTCCCCATTGTCAGTTCGTCTTCATCCTTAATGTTAAGCATTCCAGCCTTTATTCTACATAGGCTGTGTCCAAAACAGCAGGCTGGGTCCTCCGAAGGCCGAATTCGTCGGCCGCATACGTCATAGCGCCGCGACGAAGGACGTCCCAAACCAAAGACTTCTCCGATGCGGCCGACAAATACGTCCTTCCTTTTCCCCGATTTGAAGGACAGGTCCGATGGATCCTTCCCGGCCCAGCATATCCCATAATGCATTGCGGCTCGACCGGAGATTTTTTTAATCTAGTAATGGCGGACGAAGCGAGAGAAAAGAATAATATTTATTTATTTTAAATAAAAAATATGGCGATATAAAAATTAAAAAATTTTAGCGGTTGCAATTCTAATACTTTTATCATTTGCATGGACATGTTTTTAAGTATTATTTTTATCATAAAAGAACGCGAAATAAACATGCACCTACAGCGGGTCAATTAGTTCTTCAAATGTTACTTTTAAGTTAATTTTATTGTTTTGTGATATTAATAATGCTAATATATTGATATTTTTCTAATTTTTATCTATTTTTGCTTCTGTTAACATCATCATGGTTGCTAGGTGACATGACGTACGCCGGGGTGGAGGGGAGGCTAGACCGTCCAAATTCACAGCCTCTTTTTTTCCGGTCTTCCTGGTCTACCAAGGACCCGGCCCACCTCAACAGGGTAGTCTGGGTCCTCCGGAGGACCCGGCCTGTCGTTTTGGACACAGCATTTGTCTTCCAGTTAACTTGACCCAGCTTGTATTTTGGACCCATCTCTGCCTCTGTTTTGGATACCTTAACCTGGACTGCAACTTTGTGTACCGACCCTGGACCGAATAAAAGGATTAATGATTTTGAGTGACTGTGTTGAGTCATGCATTTGAGTCCTTTTTCTGTGACGTACAATATTAAGAAGATCCTCTAGATATTCTGTCCACTTTCCAACACTGTTCAACACTGTCCAACACTTTACAACACTTTACAACATTTTCCAACACTGTCCAACACTGTCCAACACTTTACAACACTTTACAACATTTTCCAACACTGTCCAACACTGTCCAACACTTTACAACACTTTACAACATTTTCCAACATTGTCCAATACTGTCCAACACTTTCCAACACTGTCCAACATTGTGAAACACTGTCCAACACTGTCCAACAATCCCCACAGTCTAGGTCAAGAGTTCCCCAGCCAAACCAAGCACAGTCTGGGTGAACACCTGCTCTCCTTTTCTGAACAGTTTGTCAGAAACTCCTACAGGCTGACCAAAGGTTCTTCTCCATGGCTTCTGTTGGAAAAACTATTCTGGAAATGTAAGTTGGAGATTTCATGGACAGAAGCCTCCAACAGACAGTCACTGTTTCTGCAGCTTCACCCGGACCACAGCCTGTCCCGACACTGGGTCCAACTCACCCACAAGATCTGTTGAAGTTTCTGCTCCCACCTTTACCTGAATGTCCAACATACAGGACTGCATGTCTGAGGATCATCAGCCTGTATCAAACCATGTTCAGCTTCAGAACAGAAGTTTAGATGTTTCTGTTTAACAACCCCCTCCTTCAGGATGACTCTGCCATCATTAAATTTGTCAAAATTGAAAGAAAAACAAAACAATTGTTTCGCTTTTAAACATTTTTTAATGTTTGTCAGTTAATAGTTATTTGTTTACTCGTCTGTGCCTTGTTCTGATCACCACTACATGCCAGAAATAAGAGTTAAACCATCACTGTGATCAAGTTTCTTAAATTCAGTGATATTGACAGATGCATCAGATCTATTGGAGGCTGTTGAAATTATGAATCAATATGTTTAAGATCAAACAGTTTCAGCTGGATGATCCTATCTACAGGATGGTTTCAAATCTTAATCAAACAAGCAGAAAAACTAAAACCATAATTTTGTGTTTGATAGAAGTGTTTTCACTTTCTGTCAGCAAATCTAACCAAACACAATCATCTTGCATCAAGTTAACAAGGATTTCTGTTTCATATTTGCTTCCAACTTTAATGTGTTGGAGGGCCAGAGAGACAAAGGCAGCCTGTGTTTGTCAGTTTAATCTCCATGACAGAACATCTCTGTTTACTTTTCCTCTTACTGACAGCCAAACGTCTTCTCAGAGTTTAAACCTTACAAGGATTCTGAAAAATATCATTTTTGTAAACACAATGCTACCAGATTAGAGGCTCTGCAAAAACACAAATTAAAGTCAGGAACTCCAGAAGCAGAGTTTTAGGATGTCTCAAAGTCATTGTCATTTTAATTCAATTTATCTTGTCTGTGGTCAGGTCATGAAGGCCACAGGGTCAGGAGGGAAACCCAGACATTCAGTGATGCTCCTCTGAGGGAAAACCAGTGTGGTCCCAGGCCAGAGAGAATACATAATCCTTCCAGAGAGTTCTGGGTCTCCTCCTGGTGGAATATAACTGAAAACTGTCCACATGGAAGAGAACCACCTCAGCTGACTCATTTCAGTGAGAAGAAGCAGCTCTCCTCTAATCTCTCCTCAGAAGACGGAGCTCTTCACCTCGTCTCTAAGGCTGAGCCCTCTCCCTATGAAGGAAACTCATTTCAGCTGCTTGAATCAAAAGCTTGTTTTTTTTTTCAGACATGAGTCACTCCTCATGATTGTAGGTGAGGGTTGGAAAATAGATGAAAATATCATCAGCAGAGCCTCTTATAAGGAAGACAAGCCTCATCTTTTCACAGACAAACACAAAGCAGCATGTTATGAACAACTTATACCAGCTAATTCTGGCATCTGTGTTATTTTTCTGAGAACCACACAAAACCCAGGAGTAGCCAAGGATGTACATAAATCTTATTTGCAGCAAAGGTCTGCCTTCAGAGTGACATCACTCTAAAGTCATCATTTATTTATAAATCATTGAGTAATCAATCACGTCAGAACTGATCCAAGTGTCTCAGTCAGTGTCTGATATTTAGATGCTGATTAAACACCTGTCTTAAAGTTTAACCCCTAATAATTGTTCTGTTTCTGCTCTATGGGTCGACATTGTTCGCTACTTTTCTTTAAGTTGCGTTTTTGCTGAGAGGCATCCTCAACTCTAACTCTGAGGGTGAGATCTTACAACAGTGCATCATTCTGTTTTAAGGTTCGACCAAAACAACAAGGCTGTAAGGAACAGTCTCAGTTCAAGGTGAGACGTGTTGTGTCACTTTTTCTTTTGCTTCTGGTAGCTAATGACAACGAAATGTGTTAGCTTGATTTACTAAATAATCTAACATTTACGCAGTTGTACTTTTTGTACAAAAAAAACTCCTCATTCAATTTTTTTTGTACCATTGGTTTGTGCTTAAGACACCTTTTATCTTTCAACACTTCTTGGGTTTATTGGTGTGTTGGGATCTGTAAGAGAGCAAAGATGCTTCAGCTGTAAAGTTTTATCTTAACTACGAGTTTTTGACATTCCTGAAATGACACATCTTCTTGTCTTTTGTCCAAACACCTGTAGGACAAAACCTGCTGACAGATTGTGCTCTGCTGCTCGTCCTGGTGATAATTTACCTCTCGTGTAGTGCTTAACACATTACAAACACCAGAACACGACAGGCTGAACTGAGACATCAGTTGTTGAGCCTAAAAACAGTGATTTTAGACCAGGTGTAAGTCCTGAGTCAAAGCCCTCTGCTGGTACAGATTTAGTCATTCGTGCCTTTACACTGCTACAGTATTTGTTTATTTTGCTTTGCAAAGAGTAGGGAGACCAGAACAGGCTGTAACATCTTGATGCATTGTGAGTTTTTTTTAAATTTGTTTTTTTTATGAAGGACTTGAAAGTCTAAGAAAGAAAAACGTTGCTTTCCCTCAAAAATCAAAAGATGTGGATTTTTGGCACTGATGTCCTAAGTTTTGATCTGTCCGATGAGGAAACAAACTTTTCAGAGAACAAAAAATTCTCAGCTTAGAAACCGTTTTTCTCTTTGTTGGTATGAAAAGTTTAAAATGTGAGATTTACTCAGAGAAAACCTTCCAGAGGGATCTCTGTCCTACCTGTGCTGCTCTGGATGGTCCTGACAGTCGTTGCAGATGTGCGTGGTGGTGAGGATGGTAGCAGCAGCAGGGGTCTCCCTCCTTCTCCTTCCTCATCCCCAGAACACCCTTGGTCAATCGCCCTCACGTAACTGTGGCTTCTCATACGGAAGCATCCGGGCATGGGCAGGGTGTCCATGGTCTCCAAACTGTCCATCGCATTGTCCATAGCTTGAGACTGCAACGCACTGTAGACCTGCTCACAGACCTGCTCAATCTGTCCGTTCACTTCCACCTCACTCAGCTGGAAAGAGGAGACAGCAACAGATTAGGGGTAGGGTTAGGGTTAGGGTTAGTGGGCAGACAAAATCTTCAGGGAAGAAAGGGTAAGAAAGAAAACCCCCAGATTAATTTTCACATCATCATGTTGTTTAAACAGCTGCTTTAAGTGCAGGAAGAGAATGGTTTTGTGGGGGTTTTACTATAAGGAACGCATTCATGCGAAAAAAAATGTTAAATGCTATTTTTTTGGATGTTTATACAGTATGTCAGCTGCCGAAAGTGCTAAGTTCAAGTAAAAACTAAGATTAGTTTTAAAATCTTTGGGTCTGCAGTCTTATAATATGGATCTCTGAGATCTGACTGGCCACAAACATTTGGGTACTTTTCACTTATCTTTAGGAGACAAAAACATAACAATGTCAAACAATGGGCCTCATGCAAGAACTGTTCGTACAAACAGATTTGTTCTTAAGTTGTGCGTACGAGTGATTTAAGAGAATTTGTGGCATTCACCAATGTTTTCATATTCTAAGATTTTTTTCAGATACGAACAAAATTCACGAGTGGTCCACACCTGTCGTATATTTTATGAGCAGTCAGTCTGCTGTTATCCAGATGGTTTTCTTCACTAATAACTTTATATT